CAGGAATGATAGAGTTGGGAGAGACCAGAAGGGCCATCTAAGTCAGGGGTCTCCAACCTTGGCCACTTTAAGACTTGTGCACTTCAACTCCCAGAATTGCTGGCTGACGAATTCTGGGAGTTGAAGTCCACGAGTCTTAAAGCGGCCCAGGTTGGAGACCCCTGCTTTAGTGCAGCAACAATACTAAGTATGTATAAATACCAAAAGCAAATACATGTGAATATCAAAGTAAAGGAAACTTTTTTCTATCTGGCATTATCCCATAATAAAAGAGCGCTTGGATGGATGGATTTTTTTAAAAAAGAAAATCTTAACACCTTTCAACACCGCAGAACTGATGAGGTCCCCTAGCTGAGGAAGCCTCCGAGCTTCCTAAGGGAGCGTCTCCGTCGCCACCCTTGAAGCCAGAGCTCCAGGGTCCTTCTGAGCAGCTTCCGTGTAGGGGAAGAGAGGCGCCCCCTTGTTCCAGGCTGGCCCTTCCCTCTTCCCCGGGCGCCCAACTCGTCTAACGTGCTTCCTTGCAGGCTGGCGATCACCAACGCCACCATGACGGGGACGCTGCTGAAGATGACCGACCGGAGCCACCGGCAGAAGCTGCAGCTGAAAGCTCTGGACACGGTGCTCTTTGGCCCGCCTCTCTGTGAGTGACACCACCAGCCCCGTGTCTGTGTGTGTGTGTGTGTGTGTGTGTAGGGGATGAGGGAACACTGGACTCTCACTCCTGTCAGGTTTCCGAGTGATGAAATCCATTTAAAAAGAAAAGAGCAAAGTCCCGTCTTCCAAAACGATTTCTTTCGTTTAGGAGCATAAATCGTTTTTTTGTTTCCCAGTGTCAGGGTCTGCCTTTGCGTTGGGACCCACGTTTGGGCTGTATGTGCGTGTGTGTTTCTATTTTATCAGCAGTAGGGAAGTAAACAGGGCTGGCTAAGTGGGAGTTTCTTCTTTATGGTTTTTGGGAAAAGGACGGGCAGTGCAGCCCCTTTGAACTCCTCCGCTGCCTATTTGGTGCTTCCAGGCGTAACTCTGAGTCTTTTGCTGTGGTAGTGGGCGTTTGCAGATTGAAAGGAATAGCTCAGAGCAGGGGTCTCCAACCTTGGCCCCTGGAAGCCTGGAGGACTTCCACCCCCAGAATTCCTCAGCCAGCAAAGCTATACAAACTATACAAGCAAAGCTGGCTGGGGAATTCTGGGAGTGGAAGTCCTCCAGGCTTCCAGGGGCCAAGGTTGGAGACCCCTGGGTTAGGGGAAGGACAGAGAACCCTTCAATGGGATTATTAGAGGGCCTCTGTTTGTTCTTCTGATGCTGAGAGATTTTTCTCCTTGTGGGGTTGTGTATATAATGGCTTCGGAGTCCTTCACTGCTTTTACAAACTGGGTAAAAATACGGGTAGATTCCTTTCTTTTTTGTTTTATGTTTTATTTGCCGTGTTTCTCAACATGGGGGCCCCTTTCAGACCTGCGGACTTCAACTCCCAGAATTCCCCCAGCCAGCCTGGGGGAATCTGGGAGTTGAAGTCCAAACCCCTTAAAGGGCCCGTTGCTCATATCTACACCAACAATTCCTTGAGAGAAGGAAGACCCCGGTCACGTGATCAGGATTCAGGCGCTTGGCTGCCGGCCCATTCTCTGGAGTCATGTCGCCTTTTGTGACCTTCTGGCAAGCAACCTCAGCTGGGAAGCCGGATTCACTTAATGACTTTAACTGATAACGGATAACCAGAGTTGGAAGAGAACTTGTAGGTCATCTAGTTCAACCCCACCCAAGTGGGAGACCCTACACCCATGATGACGAACCTATGGCATGCGTGCCATAGGTGTCACGCAGAGCCATTTGTGCCGACACGCGAGCCGCAGGCAAATTTACCTCACTGCGCATGTGCGTTGCCTCACAGCTGATTTTCGGCTGGTTTGAGGCCTTTTTCGGCCTCCCAGAGGCTTGAAAAAGGTCCCTGCAGGCTTTGGCAGGCCCAATAATAGGCCCGTTTTGTCACTTCCTGTATTTCCGGAAATTACCAGAAGTGACGAAATGGGCCTATTATTCAGCCTGCAAAGCCTGCAGAGGCCTTTTTCAAGCCTCTGGGAGGCTTAAAAAGGCCTCAAACCGGCCGAAAATCAGCTGTAAGGCACAGTGCAGGTAGGGAGGGGTGCATTGCCTTGCACGCACACATTTTTGGCACAGGAGCCCCCCCCCAAAACCATTGTCCTACACCATTTCTGACCAAGGGCAGTTGCTTCTTGAAAGTCTCCAGTGATGACTTTGTCTGAACTCTGTGGCGAGAGAGAAGGAAGGTACTCGTGTATTAACAAGGGCCTGGCTTAGCAACCGAAAGGCTGGGCTCCCTTGCGGTCATAAGTCGAGGACTCCCTGTGTAATGGGATGATGTGCCGGCTCCCAAGGGCCTTGGGCAACTCCAGCAGAGCAGAGCAACCCTCCCCGAGGCCCATCCTGGGGGAGCAGCTCTCCTCCCGGTGCTCCTTCAAGGGAGGCCAGCGGGAGCCGGTTCCTCCAGGCCAGAGCAGCCCTAGGAAGGGAGGCGCCCATCTCCCGCGGCTGAGCTTGCCTTGGACGGAGGCGGCTCCATTGTGCGGAGGAGTCGAAACTGGTTGGAGCAAGCTGGCCGGCGGAGGGCTCTGCGGCCTCGGGGAAAACCTTCTTTCCTATTGGGTGTGTGTTTCACAACAGGGGAACAAGCAGCAGCAGGTCGGGAGGAGGAGGGGGGGTTCCTACCTGGAACGAGGGTGAGGACGAGGAATGGGCCAAGCAGCTTCCCTCCCTCCCTGGAGGTCTCCTGCCTTGGGCGGGGGTTGGACTAGAAGGCCTCTAAGGTCCCTTCCAGCCTTGGGGTTCTACGAAAGGCTTGAGACAGAACAAGGGAGGGAAACTAATCATGGAGAGGAGCAACCTAGAACTAAGGAGACATTTCTATTTTTCTACCGTTTTCTTATTCGGTTCATGCCAGCCAATTCGGTGGAAGGAAGGCAATTATCCTGCTTCATTAAGAATAACAAGGCCGAATGAAGAACAAATAATTCCCTAATACTTGGTACAAAGGTTGATTGTTGCTACCTGTTGCTGAAGGAACAATAGGCCCTTTCTTTTTGAGGAGAATTTCTCCTTCCTTTCTGTGCGCATAGATTATATCTAGTTGCAAACTGAAAACATTCTCAGTCTCTGTAAACTGCACGTTTGGCTCCTTCCAGACAGGTGGCTGTAAGTTGATTTATTAAACGTATTTGCCGTCCATCCCTCACGGAGATAGTCCTTCCTGGGTGACCCCAATGAGGCTTTTTGACTAGACGACCTCTCGAGTTGCGGTCGCTAGTTGTGACTGGGCTTTTGAGTAATTCTCCAAATCCCAAAGGGCCGGCCCTGAAAATTCACCCACGGAGCTGCGTCTCTGACGATGGCTTAGGGGTCACAGCCAAGCCCCAGTGGGCCAGATCAGGAGGGGTTCTGACAGCTTCCGAAAATTACGAAGGGTTTGGACAGAAGGGTCAAAACCCTTCATGATAAGTCAAACGTACGCAGCTATATAGAAGTGAAATACCCATCACGCATCATCACAAAATCTCCAGAACTTGACATTTGGCCCGTATGTTTCTCTTGGCTTCCAGGAGCTCCCTAAGAAAGGATTTTTCAAAATGACCATCGGAGCATTAAGAGTATTTCCTATATTATTATTATTATTATTATTATTAACACGCTCTGATGCTAAGGAGTTTTACTCCCCCTCCCCACTTGGAAAGAAATCTCTTCCAAAGGCAAAACACAAGCAGAAGAGTTTAGTTTCAGAGCACCAAGCAGCTTTAGTACAGAACAGTTGAGCTAAGTCACACCCAGACTCCTTGCTGTCTCCTTCTTGTTCAAACAGCAAATACTCTTTCAGTTTCCAAACAGCCCTCCACTCTCTCACACGCTGACAGGACCCTAGCCAGATAAATACCAATGGAGGCTGGTAGGCAGAGGCAGATTTTTTCCCCCTTATTTTCCTTCCCCCAAACTAAGCCCCACCACGTAGTTCTCGCAGCGAAGCACGTGGGTATCCACAGGCAGTTTATTCCCACTTCCTGTTTCTCAAGCGCCCACCTCCCTCGGAGGGGGACTCTGTGTGGCCTACAACGTAAGTGATAAGCTTGAAAATCAGAATAATTGAAGATGGAAAAAAAAAAAGCTATAAAGCCATTTGATCAAAAATTCTAGAAGAGACTAGAACTTGGAGTCTTCACCGCCATGAAGAGGCAAGCTGGTGGCTGCGTCTGGTGCCACCCAGACCTCTGCGTTGGAAGCCAGCTGAGACCCCCTCCCCTGCCCTCCCCTCCCCTGGAATCCGGAGCCAGTGGGCGCTTGGCCTCCAGATCGGATCCAAGCCGGCCGGGGGGGGGGGGGGGGGGGCGGGGGGGGGGGGGGGGGGGGGGGGGGGGGGGGGGGGGGGGCTCCTTGCCGACGCTCTCCCCCTTCGGCTTCCCCAGTGACCCGCCACAACCACCTGAAGGACTTCATGCTGGTGGTGTCCATCGTGATTGGCGTGGGCGGCTGCTGGTTTGCCTACATCCAGAACCGCTACTCCAAGGAGCACATGAAGAAGATGATGAAGGACCTGGAGGGCCTCCACCGGGCGGAGCAGAGCCTCCACGACCTCCAGGAAAGGTGGGCGGGTGGGCCGGTCCCTCCCTCCCTCCCTCCGCCCAGCTGGAACCCTCGACAGAGGCCGATCCCCACCCTTCCTTCCCTCTTCTTTTCCCCCTTTCCTTCCTTCCTTCTTTCATTCCTTCCCTTCCCTTCCCTTCCTTCCTTCCTTCCTTCCTTCCTACCTTCCTTCCTTCCTTCCTTCCCTTTCTCTTCTTTTCCTTCTTTCCTTTCCCTGTTTCCTTCCTTCCTTCTTTCATTTCTTCCTTTCTTCCTTCCTCCCTCCCTTCCTCCTCCCTAACCTTCCTTCCTTCTTTCCTTCCCTCCCTCTTCTTTTCCTTCCTTCTTTCCTTCCTTCCTCCCTAACCTTCCTTCCTTCCCTCTTCTTTTCCTTCCTTCCCCCCTCTCTTTCCTTCTTTCCTCCCTTTCTTTCCCTTCCTTCTCTTTTTTTCCCTTCTTTCCTTCCCTCCCTCTTTCCTTCCCTCCCTCCTTCCCTCCCTCCTTCCTTCCTTCCTTCTGAAGGCCCCCCCCCATGGGATTCCCACCCCGCCCAGCTTCCTCCGTGGCCCAGGCTCTCGGGATGCTCCCCTGGCTCTCCTCCTGGGCCCCTCCTGATGGGTTTCGGTCCTCCGTCCCTTCCCTCCAGAGCCCGCTGGGAGGGCCTGCCGCCCCCCCCATGCGTCACCCCCCCACACACACACACACGGGTCTCCCCCTCAGGCTGCAGAAGGCGCAGGAGGAGCACCGCTCGGTGGAGGTGGAGAAGGTCTCCCTGGAGAAGCGGCTGCAGGATGAGATCAGCATCGCCAAGCAAGAGGCCCACCGGCTCCGGGAGCTGCGCGAGGGCACCGAGAACGAGCTCAGCCGGCAGAAGTACGCGGAGCAGGAGCTGGAGCAGGTAGGCCGGGGGGTGTGTGTGGCCCCCACCGGGCACCTGGGCTATGGGGGGCGGGGGGGGGGCTCGGGGCCCCCCCGCAGGCCTTTGGGGACACGGGGCGGAGCCCTGATGGGGCCGCCTGGTTGGATGCAGAAACCCCCGCCCGAACCCCCCCCCCCGGCTCAGAGAGCAGCAAGGACCCCACGGTGGCCCTCCTCCCTGCAGACCCCTCCCCTTCTAGCATGGATGAGGTTACCTATTTGGGTCATGAAACGTCTGCAAGAAAAGCACCGAGCACAGACCCCACAGTCTTCCTCCTCCTCCCTGATCATGTTCCCTAGTTGGGTCACGAAACATCTGCACAAAAAGAACCCAGCTTAGAGACCACCAGGGACCCCACAGTGGTGGACCTCCCCCCTCCCCGAGAGCTCCAAGGACCCCACAGTTCAACCCTGAGCTACAGTCGTGCCCCCCTCCTCCTGGGGCCTGAGCCCCCCACTTCCAGTCCGGGGTCCTTGGCCTGCCTTGGGCTCTCGTCTTCCCACATTGTGAGGCCCCGTAGCGTCCGTGTGGCCCCGGGTGTGGTGGGTGTGCGCGCTCTGCCTTCTGAAGGGGCCCCGGTGCTGTCTCTCCCGCCCCCCCTCCTCCTCCCAGGTGCGCATGGCCCTCCGTAATGCCGAGAAGGAGCTGGAGTCGCACAGCAGCTGGGCGGCCCCCGGGGCCCTCCAGAAGTGGCTGCAGCTGACGCACGAGGTGGAGGTGCAGTACTACAACGTCAAGAAGCAGAACGCGGAGAAGCAGCTGCTCCTGGCCAAGGAGGGGGTGAGTGCCGGGGGGGGGGCATGCAGCAGGGAGGGGGGGCCTTCCAACCTGGGCAACAGGCCCTGACGTGATACTCGGTGGGCAGCTGCCCTCAACGTACAGCCACAAGCGAGACCAGAATGACTTTGGTGTATTCGTCGTTCAGTGAAGCCCCCCCACCCATCGTCCCCTGCCTCCCTGCTCTGGTGGGTCGGGTGGAGAGGACTGGGAAAAGAGGGTCCTTCAGATAGCAGGGAGGGGGGGGGGTTGCAGGAACCGGGGGTGGCCAGTCGAGAGAAAAGAAGGACGGGGGGGGGTGACTTGAGAGCCGCCTTCCAGCATTTGAGGGGCTGCCCCAAAGAAGAGGCAGTCAAGCTCTTCTCCAGAGCCCCAGAAGGCGGCAGGACTGGAAGCAACGGGTGGAAATGGAGAGAAGCAATCTGGAACCAAGGAGGAACTTCCTGAACAGGGAGGGCAATTAGCCAGTGGAACAGCCGGCCACTGGAAGTTGTGGGCGCTCCTCCATCTCTAGCGGTTTTTAAGAAGAGACTGGACAGCTGCTGGTCAGGAATGGTAGAGGCCTCCTGCTTGAGCAAGAGGTTGGAGTAGAACAGGGGTCAGCAACCCGTGGCTCTAGAGCCGCCTGGGTCTCTGTCCTCCCTCTGCTCCGGCTCCCGGTCACTGGCTGGCTCCACAGTTGATGGGGCTTTCGGTTAGGACAGGGAGAGGAAAAAGGAGGCTGTGCTAGGAGGAGACTCTATGGTGGGGGAACCGGACTTCCTGTGGCTCCAGGATTGAAGGGGGGGGGAAAGTGGGGGGGCTTCCAGTTAGGATCTTTTGTGGCTCTTTGAATGCTTAAGGTTGCCGATCCTGGACTAGAAGACCTTTCAAGGTCCCTCTCAGCTCTATTCTGATTGGTTGGTTGGTTGGTTGATTGACGGAAGTTCCCAGCAGACCAAGCTGCAGCCAGTCGATTGAGGGTTGGGGGGCCCGTCTTGCTGCCCCCCCCCGAGTGTTGCCCAACCGCCTCTCGCTCCCCCCCCAGGCCGAAAAGATCAAGAAGAAGCGCAACACCCTCTTTGGCACCTTCCACGTGGCCCACAGCTCCTCCCTGGACGACGTGGACCACAAGATCCTGACCGCCAAGTGAGTCGGTGCCTGCCCCCCCCCAGCAGCCTTTGGGGTGCAGGGGGCGTCCTCTGTCCAGTGGGGGAGACCCCCCCCGTCTCCACCCAGGCGTTGGCCCACAAGGCGGCAGCGATGCTTTGGGTGGGGGGGCTGGTGGGGAGGGCCTCCCCTCCCCCACCTCGATTTCAGCTAGGCCGCTTGAGGCTGCATAGAGGGGCCCCTCCGGGATGGGTAGCCCTGGACCTTCACCCGCAGTTGGGACCCAAATTTCCATTGCAAAGCAGGACGGTCGTTCAGTGAGTCCTGCCTGATTTTACATAGTTTGCTATAGTTACTGAGCGAATCACTGCAATGGTTTAAGTGAGTGACGTGGTCGTTAAGTGAATCCGGCTTCCACCCATCGACTTGGCCTGTCGGAAGCAGCTGGGGAGGTCTCTGGGGAGGAGGGGGCATCTATGGGACCCCGGAAGGCGGCAACAGTCATAAATGCCGGAGGTCCTCCACTTACGGCCACAACGGAGCCCCAAACTTTCTGTCGCTGGGTGAGATGGTTGTTAAGTGAGTTTTGCCCGACTTTATGACCACGTAACCATCATAAATACAGGTCGGTTGCCCCTTGGGATCACTGACCAGGGTACAGTGCAGCGGTCGTAAGTGTGAGGACGCCTCCTACCTCCCTTTTTTCTGCAGTGCCGTTGTAACTTCGAAGGGTTGCAAGTGGAGGACTAGCTGTGGGGTTGCCTGGGGGGCGGGGCAGAGGGTTGCGCTGACCCCCCCACCCCCCCTCTCACTCTCCCCCGTCCCCCCTGCAGGCAGGCGCTGAGCGAGGTGACGGCCGCCTTGCGGGAGCGGCTGCACCGCTGGCAGCAGATCGAGCTGCTCTGCGGCTTCCAGATCGTCAGCAACCCCGGGATCCCCACGCTGGTCTCGGCCCTCAACATCGACCCCAGCTGGATGGGGGGGGCCCCCCCGCGCCCCAACCCCTCCCACTTCATCATGACGGACGACCTGGACGACCTGGACGAGGAGATGGTCTCCCCCGTCTCCATGCAGTGTGAGTGGGGGAGGGCCCCGGACCCCCCCCGCCCCCCCCCCCCCTCCTCCCCCACACACCCCTCCCCTATCTTCAAGGGAGGCGGCTCCAGGAAGGGCGCAGGGGGTCCTCAAATTACAACCAGGGGGCTGAGCCCAGGACGTCTAAGCGAGACCGTTCTCAAGCGGGTTGTGACCCGTTGGATGGCCGTTGTTGCCTCCGTCACTAAGTGAATCGTTGACTTTGTTCGACTAAGTCTTACGGCTGTTGAGCGAACCCGGCTTCCCCGCCGACTTTGCTCATCAGGTGGTCGCAAAAGGGGATCCCTGCGACCGTCTTAAAAATGAGTCGCTTGCCAAGGGGCCAAATTTTGATCCCATGTCCTGGGGGAGGCAGCGGCAGTTGTAAGGGTGAAAAATGGTCATAAGTCACTTAGTGAAGTGGTAACTTGGCACAGTCCCTGGATGAATGGTTGTAAGCCAAGGACTAGCTGCCCTATGTGAGCAAAGCAGCGGAGGTGCCCCCAGGCTTGAGGGGTCACAGAGGGGGGTGTCTTGGGGTACAGGTGAGGCTGGTCATCCTTCCCCCTTTGGGTCTCCCCTGGGGGGGTGGGGCCGGAGGGAAGGGTCCGGGCTGGGGGGGGGTCAGGCCGGCCCCGGGGTCCCCCGCAGAGGCCCCATGGGGGTGACGCTCTCTCTCTCCCTGCCAACGCCAGACGTGGCCCTGCTTTTGGGGCGCCAGTCCAGCGACCGCTCCGCCCCCTGCTTGGAGGACCAGGCCTTCTGCAAGGACCCCGGTTTGAGGCGCCTTCTCTTGGATTCACTTTCACCCCCCGGACTAAACCCCGCCGGCCCCCCCAGGACCCCCCCCCCGGTCTGGGCGCTTCTCCTTTCCAGCCCAGCGGCTAATCCTCACCCCTCTGCTGCCTCTCTCGGCTAACCCCTTCCAGAGGGCGGTGCCCGTCAGAGCAAAGAACCGCGGGATTGGGGGGCAGGGCGAGAAAGGGGGCCCACCCAGCCCCTCCTGCATTTCTGGCCTTTAGAGCGTGGGGGGCGGGGGGCTGGCGGACTTCAGCAAGGCTGGCGGAGTTGAAGTCCAGAAGTCTTAAAAGGGGCCAAGGTTGGAGAGCCCTGGCAGCTTTAAGACTTCTGGACTTCAACTCCCAGAATCCCCCACTCGGAGGTCCCCAGGCCAGTGGTGGGAGTTTAAGGTTTTTACCACCGGTTCGGTGGGCGTGGCTTGCTGGGCGCACTTTGCACACGGTTTGGGTGTGTGTGCGCGCACCAAATGCGCACTTTGTGCAAGTGCAGAGGCCTTCCAACTCACCTCCTCCCTGAACTCTCCCTGCGGCTTCTGCAGCTGCCGTGCCGCACTCGGCTGTGCCGCGCAAAGCGGCTGCGCTTCCAAAGCAGGGAATCCAGGTGAGCCCAAGACCAGAGCAGTGGAGAGAAACCAGTTTGGTCCCCGCTGCTCATCGGCGCTACCGGCTCGGCAGAACCAGGGCAAACCGGTCGAGTGCCACCACTGCCCCAGGCCTGCTGGCAGGAGCGGGTTTTCTCAGTGCCCTGTGGAAGAGGGTCGGGGGGGCGGATGATGTCCCACAGGGAGGGAGCCACCACGGAGAAGGCCCTCCTTCGCGGTCCCCCTGCAGAGGGGTCTTCCTTGCCAGCACAATTGTCCCCATCCAGGGAAGAGGTGCAGGAGGGGCCCCAGACTCTGCCTCCCCCTCCCCGAGACAGGCTGGGAGGGGCGCTCTGAAGGGGGGGGATGGTCCTCCCAAGCGGCTGCTCCCTGGCTCTTCGCTTCCCAGCAGGGCCTGATTCTTCCTCGTGTCTTTTGTGCTCCGGGCAACCCCTCGCGCCCCATTTGCATGCCCCTTGGGGCCCAGCCAGTGGTCGTGGGCACCTCCCTGGGCACCGTGGGTCGGCTGGGGCCGGCGGGTGGTGGGCAGTCCGGGGGCAGCCACTCTGCCTTGGGTTCGGGTTCAGCTGCACTGCGGAAAAGCTCTCCCTGGCTGTCTGCACCACGGGGAGTGGGAGAAGAAATGGGGGACTCGGGGGGGGGGGGGGGGGCCGGCCTCGGCCCCCCCACCCCACCCTCATCCTCCCTCCCTCCAGGCAAGGGGGAAGGGAAGGGAGCGGCCTGGTGGGCAAGCGCCGTCCGTGCAGCCTCTCCCCCTCCCGGACCGGCCCTTCTTCCCTTCTCTCCTGCCAGCTCCCGCCTTGCCCAGCAGCGTCATTCGCCAGCGCCTGATGGACCCCCAGCATTCCTTGGGATCGCAGAGGTTGGTAGAGAGTCACCAGCAGGCCCCCAGCCAGGGGGAATCGGGACCGCTGGTGCATTACCTGCCCGGCCGGGTCACTCTGCGCCGAATGCCCAGCCTCACCGGTGGCAGCAGCGGTGGCAGCAGCGGTGGCAGCATCGACGTCCCAACCGCTCCACCGTACTCCTCTTCCTCGGCCGGCCATGGCGCGCCCTCCGCCCCCACTTGCCACGGGCTGCCCATCCTGTACCACCACACCACCTCCTCCTACATCCTGCAGATGGATGCCCTGCCCAACCTGCCCCCTCCCGACGTCACCTCGGGGACCCACGGCCAGACCGAGAGCTCGGGGTACCGTCCTGTCTGCTCGGCCGTGGCACCTGCTCCCTCCCCTAACCTCCGCTGGCAGCCGCTGCACGGGGTGTGGTGCCTGCCGTGTCTCCCCGTGAACCCCACTAACCGCACCGTGAGCTCTCTCGACCCCGGGATGGAGTGTGGCTGCGTTTGCTGTGCTCGAAGCGCTGCGGACGGCTCGGGTCCGCCGGTCTGCGTGGCCCGGCTTCTGCTGAGGCTGCTCGGCCCCTCGCCTGGGGCGGCTGCCTGGGGGGGGCCACAGTCGCCCTTAGACTTATATGCCCCCCTCCCCGCCCAGTACTCTCCATTTGAGAGTGAGGCCCTTCCGGAGTATCTCCAGGTGGGCTCAGAGGGGCCTGCAAGGGACTGCAGGGGTCTCTGCCATCGGCCTACAGGCAGATGTACTCCAGCCTGGGATTTTCCCCCGCCCCCTTGGGAGGAGGCCGAGCCCCTCCCGCCCAGACTCCTCCCCCAGGACTGTTGTGGTGGGATTTGGATTCCAGCCCCCCCATGTCACCCAGGTGGGAGAAAGGGAGCCAGCCCCCACCCACCTGCTTGCAGCCGCCTCTGTGCATCAGCCTACTTGGGGGAGGGGGGGTCTGGGGGGTGCCTGGAGGAAAACTCCTTGCCGGCCTTCCCTGGGTTCGGTCTGGGAAGGAATTGGGGAGGGGCACCGGAAGGCAGCTGCTTGTGTGTGAAGGAATTGGGGAGGGGGCCGCGCTGAGGGCAGCGGCTGCATGGGTTCCAGTGCTTCCAGGCTCCCAGACTCACGTCTTCTCATCTCCCCCCCCCCCCCCCCCCCCCCCCCCGGGACCTGGCCCACTCGGACTCGGACTCCTCCATCCCGCACCTGGGCGACCTCCAGCGGGCAGCCATTTCCGCACCCAAGCTGCGCCCCGCCCTGCTGCACAAGCCGGCTGAGGAACATCCGCACCAACCGGAGCCCGCCGAGTTGGAGAGCCCGCTGACGATGAAGAAGGTGCCCCCCTTCAACCACCACCACGGGGGGCTGGAGAAGGCGGCCAGCCTGGGGGAGCTGGGGCCGTCGGGGGCCCGTTCGGGGGACTCCTCTCGGTCACACAGCCCCAGCTCCACGGAGCCCGACACCCCCTCACCGCCTGCCAACGGCCGCACCGCCCTCTCCCTCCTGCCTGGCAAGGCGAACAGCCGCATCCCCCACCTGGCGGCCAAGAAGACGGCGGGAGAGGAGGACAGTGGCTCCACCGGCGAGGAGACGGACTCGGGCCCCGGCAAGAAGAAGTTCCCCCTAAAGATCTTTAAGAAGCCACGGAAGTAGCCGGAGGACACGGAAGGACCGGGCAAGCCGCCCGTGGCTGCCCTCCGCCGGAACGCCTGGACGGAGTGACAGAGACACTCTTGCTGGGGGGGCCTCCTGGGGCCAGAGGGCCCTGCTTGGCTGCGCATGGCTTGCACCCGCTGCCCCCCTTCTGCCTGCTGCTGCCCTCCATGCGGCCAGGGCAGGGGAACCCCAAGAGGCGCCCCTGGACTACTGCGGCCTTCCCCCGGGAGTGGAACCAAAGCTTCGTGGCTGCCCTGTGCAGCCGAGTACAGGAGGGCGATGCCTCAGGCTCCTGGCTGCGTCCTGGACCGGCCGGAGTGGCCACACAGGAGCCCGTCTCGCTGGGTCTCAGGGCAAGGAGGAAGGCGGCCGCCTGGCCAGCAAGGCTGCGGAGGGGCTGCCCAGGCACCGAAGGGGGGCAGCTCCTGGGGCCGGCCAGCTGCTTTCGTAAAACTGTTTTGAATCTAATAAAGCATGTAGACTATTTTAATAAGGTCGGCCGTGTGGTGTCTTTCTGGGACAGCTGCCCAGCCAGGGGAGGAGGCCTTTCTTTTCTCTGAAGGGGGGGCCCAGGGGTGTTTTCCTAGGCGAGGCTCCTACCTTCTCGGCCGGTGGAACTCTCCGCCACTAGCCAGGAGAACGTCCCACGCCAAAGAGCCCAGATTCCCCGGGAGGGAGGCCAGCCTGGGGACACAACAGGCAGCCCACGCAGGCCTTTCCGTGCCCTTCCCAAGCAGGCACCACAGGTTTATTGGTCTGGTTTCCAGAAAGGCCTCTGAAAATGCTCAGGCTTTGCTCGAGTTTGGGGTGCCCCCATCGCCCTTTGCAAAGGGCAGTGCTGTGTAAAGCCCCCTGGGTGTGGGGAGGAGGGAGGGAGAGCACACTTGGCACGATTGTGTAGAGTCTTCCCATGCGCTGCAGCCTGGGTGGGCCCAGGGAGCACCGGAAAGCGGCCCTTAGAAAAGGTTATGTCCATCCAGGGGTACCAGCCCAAAGCGCCCCTTGTCCGTGGAGATTCCTGTCCTCGGTCCTCCTGGAATCCAGCTGTGGGCAGCAGGCAGAGGTTGCCGCCTCTTGCGCTGCTGTACGAGAGGCGGCGCTGGAGGCTGAGCCAGCCCAGGGCACCTCCTGCCAAGGGGGAAAGGAGGCAGCAGGTGAGCCGAATCCAAGGGGAGCCATCGAGTGAGCCGAGTGGAGGGAAAGCGGAGAAGGGGGACAGGAAGTCTTCGACTTGCGGCCATTCGGGAAATGACCAAAGTTGCAACAGCACTGAAAACAAGTGACTTCTGGCCGTTTCTCCCACTTCGGGCAGCTGCAGCATCGCCCACAGTCACGTGGTCCAAATTGGGGCAACTGATGTGTGTTCATGATAGTCGCGGTGATCCCTTTTTGCAGCCTCCTGACAAGTGAGGTCGAAGGGGAAGCCAGGTTCACTTAACGTCCGTGTTACTAAGTTAAAGACTGCAGTGAATCACGTAACAATTGGGCAGGAAAGGTCGTAAATAGGGCAAGACTCACTTAAAAGTCTGTCTCGCTTAGCAATGGGGCTCAATTGTGGTCGTAGGTTGAGGACTTCCTATACTCCAGGCGGGTGAGGAGAACTGCCAAGGGGCAGCAAAGCACCAGTGGACACCGGCCGATTTCGGACACGGGGCAAAGCTGCCCTGAAAGGTCTCTGGAGCAGTGGCTGCCTGATTGAGGGGTGGGCCAGCGGCAGCTCCGGCCCAGCCCCTGGGCTCGTGGGGGGGGGGGGGGGGGGGGGAACCGGCAGCCTCAAGGGTGGCCCAACGCAGCAGCAGCAGCACCATCTCCTGCAGTGTTGTTTGACCACAACCCCCTCCAAGGGACGGCAAGGGTGGCCCGTCGGATCTGAGTTGTAAGGGGACCGGCACAGATGCCGCCGCCTCCTGCGTTGGCCACAACCTCAGGCCTCGCTGTGATCTGGCAGTTGCCAAACTCCCACAAAGTCGCTGACCGTCAAGTTCACGGTGTACGGAACATCGATGACCTGGTGGGGCAGTTGCCGGCTGCTGGCCGAACGCCAGGAGCTCCGAGGACGGATGGCCTTCCTGAAGCGCTGCAAGGACAGGACGGGAGACTTTGGACGCGGCTCCCACTGGCCCCCCCTCTGCCACCGCCAGGACCACTGGAAAAAGTCCCAGGGGCAGCGGGAGAAGCAAGAGGCTGCGGGGCTCCTCAAGGGCTGCTGCACGCAGCTGGGACAGGGTGTCTGGAAGCTAGCCTCATTTTACGACCTATTTTCTCCAGCCTGCAACCCGAGGTCTCCAGGAGGGGTGCAGAGCCACCCCTGGCCCTAAGGTCAGCAATGCTACACTGAGGGGGCGTCTCTTTCCATCCCCCAGATTCCACTCTGTGAGCCCAAGAGAGTCCTGCCTACAGGGGGGCTTGAGCGGCTCGCCCCAGACCAAAACGCTGTCCAGCAAAGACGCTCGCCTGCCACTTAAGTCTCTGCGGAGCAGTTCTGCCATCGGGGAAATCTTTGGAAATCCCTCTGAAGAGCCCTGCAGGGTAGGCCTGTGTTGCAGACGGACGTGGGCGGATGAGGGCAGAAGAGCAACGGGGATGTGTGCCAGCAGGAATCCCAAAAGCTTGGAAGACTAAACCTCTGGTTCCTGGGGGCAGACAGACTGGACTTTGCCACGGGGCTTCCCCTTGGGGCCCTCAGTTGCGGCACAGGATGGGCACACCTGGAGCGCTGCCCGACTCGGCCCCTTCCCTGTCCTGCAGGTGGAAAACGGGAGGTCTATCCCTACTAACAGCCCTTCCCACAACCCACTGGGCTCCCTTCCCGGACTCACAGCTGCCAGTGTCCCGGACTCCTTGCAAAGGGCGATGCCAGCCCAAAGCGGAATCTGGATGCAGCTCAGCACCCCCACGCAGACGCCCAGGGCCTGGCCCCACCGCGGGAACTGGTACGCTCCGTAGTGCAGCCTGGTGCCTGACAGGTCCAGGAAGACGTAGAAGAGGATGAACTGCGAAGGGAGCAGAGCGGACAAGGATGGCCGAGGGCTGGGAGGGCGCCCCATGGCTGCCCATTCCTCTCCCCACAAGAGCGGTGAGGGCAGGAAGACCGCAAAGCCCCCGCCTGGCCTACCAGCAACGTCCCCGGCGTGACGATCACCCAGCAGGCCTTGAAGTACGGCACCAGCTGGCTGCACCAGGGCGGGCACTGACGGATCATGTCAACGATGTCTTGGCAAAACTGGTTCACCCCTGCAGGAAAAGAAACGGATCGTGCACGGATGGGGGGCGGGGAAGCACCCGTGCTGGTCCCAGCCCGGCTTTGGCCTTTCATGCATCCACAAGGCCTCTTGGCCAGATGACGGCAGCATGTTGTGCGCAGCCACTGCCTGGTTGTTTTTGATCCAGAGCAAAAGGAAGCAATTGCCATCCCAATTTTTTTCTGAGATGAAGCGGTGTCAGTCCAGATTAATTTAGGAAGCAGCCCAGCCGACTGAGCAGGGTTAGGGCAGGGTTCCCTAACTCTGGCAACCTTAAGAGGCGTGGACTTCAACTCCCAGAACTCCCCAGCCAGGAGTGGAAGTCCACACACATTCAAGTTGCCAAGGTTTAGATATAGTGGGGTAGCTGATCCTTCTGGTCTCCCAACTCTATGGCTGGCTGGGGGAATTCTGGGAGTTGAGGTCCACAGATGGGATGCGAAGGTTGGGAATCCTTGCCGTGAAAGGGAGCTGCTTTGCAGTGAAGAGGGAGAGAGGACAAACTCCGTCCCCCAGCATGGATGATGTTACCCAGTTGGATAATAAAACGTCTGCAATCTAACTCAGAGGGCACCAATGGCCCCATAGTCGTCTTCTTCCTCCCCCTCCCAACCCTCCTCCTCCTCCTCCTCCACCAACATCACCATAAACTCCACTCCCTTCTAGCACTGATGATGTTCCCTAGTTGGGTGCTGAAACATCTGCCAGAGACTCGGTCAGCCGAGGGAGCACCAGGGACCCCTCATTCCAGCAATGCTTGATGGGGTGGTCAGTGTGGGAAGGGAAGCCTGACCTGCCCAAGACCCTTTGCACGCGAACAAACCACCTATGCTGGTTAGTGGGGAAGACAGACACAGCTCCCCTACTGGCTGGGCAGTCCCACAGGAGGAGAACCGGACCCAGCTTGCTCACCCGCACCGCGACTCACCGTAGCAGCAGGTGACCCCGAGGCACATGAAGAGAGCCACGATGATGAGGCCGAAGCTGGTGCTGTAGGCGTCGATGAGGGTAAACCAGTAGATGCCGCCCTGCGAGAGGAAAGCCGCAAACGCCTGGCACCCAAGTGGGCAGAGCCAGCCTGGGCCCCCCCAGTTGGTCTGGGGCTCTCACTTCTGGGGGCTGCTGCAGGGTGGGCTTCTCCCCCAGGCAGAGCCCGGACTCCCACCGGAGCAGGTTTGCAAGGGTCCCCAAACCCACCGCTGGGGGTCCCCGCAGAACCCAGGAGGCTGCAAGGCAGGGCGGGGGTCACCAAAGACCCTTCGCTGCCTTGCAAGGAGGCGATGCCTGACCAGAACTAGGTAGCCCCTCATGCTGTGCTCGGTCAGGACAACAAGGGCTACAACACAGGGTGTCCAAATCTGGTCTAATCATCCCGGGAACAAGCCACATCCGTTCAGAGGGCGGCTTCTGCGCATGGCGGCTTGAGGTGGTTGCCCGGTTTAGGCCTCCCGCCAAGGCAGAAACTGGGTTCCCACCACGGGGTGAACCCCCAGGCCTCTTCCGTCCTCTTTTACGGCAGATCCCCCGAGAGACGAGGTGCCTTGGGTCACAGGAGAGGGAGTCCTCGACTTGTGACCATAACGGAACCCAACATTTATGTTGCTAAGTGAGACCATTGTTAAGTGAATCACTGCAGTGGTTCAGTGAGTCCCAGGGCTGTTAAGTGAACCTGGCTTCCCCCATTGACTCGGCTGGTCAGAAGGTCCCTGGGGCACAGCGATCGTCGTAGATACAAGTCAGTTTCCAAACATCTGAACCTTGATCAGGGGACTTTGGAGATGCAACAGTCGTAAGTGTGAAAAGGGGTCCTAAGTCACTTTTCAAAATGCCGTTCTGGTTTCGAATGGTCACTAAATGAGCTGTTGTAAGCTGAGGACTACCCGGAGTAAGTCAAGAGGATCTTGTCAACACAAAACGGGAGGTACGTTGTGATCATGGAAACGGGGAAAGGGCAGGGTCTTAAACACACACACACACACACACACACACACACACACACACACGTCCTCACCTCCGTGATCAAGAGGAGGCCCAGCAGGTAGAAGGCCAAGCAAAGGCCGCTTAGAAAGAGAGCTTTGCGCCTCCAGCCGCGCAGCGACGGGAACTCGTCTATCACCGCCGTGGTGATGCCCTCCATGTTTCCAAACTGAGAGAGGTCGGGGGGAGCGTTAGAGGGAAAACCAAGCCCCCCCCCGAACCCCGAGCCTCCCCTCAGCACCGCCTGGCCCTGGACGGAGCAGGGGGGGACCAAGCGTGGCCCCGTTGAGAGGCAGGAGGGGGCGGAAGCTCAGCCCACCGCGAGGCCCTGTGGCTTTGGGGCCGAAGTTACACATGCTGACCTTTTGTTTTCACACCACTGTTTCCCTGTTGCCAACACTGCGGAGATTCCTTGGTTTGGAAAAAAGGAAGTGAAAAGGCAAAGAAGCGGGGAAGGAAGGAAGTGGGGGGAGAGAGAAAGAGAGAGAAAGAAAAATAAAAAAGAAAGGAAGGAGAGAGAGTGAAAAGGAAGGAAAGGAAGGAAGGAAGAGAGAAAAGGAAGGAAAGGAAGGAAGGAAGGGAGTGAGAGAAAGGGAAAAAAGGAAGGAAAGGAAAGAAAGAAAAGGGAAGGAAGGGAGAGAGTGAGAAAGGAAAAGAAAGAAAGAAAAAGAAAAAAGGAAGGAAGGAAGAAAGGAAGGAAGAAAGGAAGGGTGGCAACCAAGAGGCTTCCTTGCCTTAAGACCCCTCCCCAGTGGCCCAGATGTTTGCTTGAGGACCCCCGGCAATTCCAGAGGAGACCCTCCCCAGATGTGCTCAGTGGGGACTGCAATGGACCTGGAGGGGCCAGTTGGTCTGGCTGCAGCCAAAGGGGGGCTCTTACCTCCCCCCCTTGCGCAGCCCCCCACTTCCGAGAAGGGCCCGGCAGGCTGCCACTCACCAGCGTGTCCACCCCCAGGGTGAAGAGCATCAGGAAGAAGAGGATGGACCAGAAGGAGGAGCCCGGCAGCAGCGCCAGGGCCTCGGGGTAGGCCACAAAAGCCAGGCCGGGTCCTGAGGAGAGAGAGCGGGGGTCACTCAAAGCCCCCCCCTTCCCCCCACCCCCGTCTGCTTTGGCCAAACCTGAGCAGGCTGGCAGGCAAACTGGAGCCTGAAGATGGAGAGGAACGGCGGAGGTGGGGGGCTGTGTGTGTGGGGTCTCCACCCAAGGCTCCTCTGCTCAGCCCCCCGGGTCTCCCCCACCCAGGAAAATGGGCGGGGAGGGGTGCCAAAACAGCCTTTGCTGCCAGGGCCCTGGAAGGCTCCCAGGAGGGCCCAGGAGATCTGGGGGCCCGGCCAAAGGGGGCCCCGTACCTGAGTCTGCCACCCTTCCGACCGAGACCTGCTTCCGCCAGGCCATGTGCCCCAGGACGGAGAAGATGGCGAAGCCCGCAAAGAAGCTGGTGCAGCAATTCCCAAGGCCAATCGCCAGCGTGTCCCTGTGGGCAGAGAGAGGGGGAGGCCCCAGGGGAGTTGAACAAGGGAGCGGCTAGCTGTCCTCTGGGTTCCTCTGTTGGCACCCACATCGTTGATGGACCCCACAGCTCTGTCCTCCCCGCCTCCCAGAAGGTCGTGTCGCCTGAGGTGGAGACCCCTCCAAGCCCCTCCTTTTCCCGGGGGGGGGGAAGGAGGACTCCAGGCGCCTCACCTGATCACATTGTTGTCAAACTTGTTGTAGGAAGCCATGGAGAGCAGCCCCCCAAAGCCGATGCCCAGCGAGTAGAAGACCTGTGAGGCCGCGTCGTTCCAGACCTTCTCCGGGGGGGGGGGGAGGGAAGAGAGACCGTCTGGGCCTGGCTTTCTCCCCTGGCTGACCCCCCCCAACTTGCAACCCCCTTGACCAGTTGCTAAGGAGCACCAACGCAACGGGCAAGGCACAGTTGTGGCCGGCAGAAGTAGGGAAGACTTCCTTCTGGCTCACGGAACGCCTGAGCTCAGCTACTCATGGATTACTCAAAACTCATCCCCGGGACCTGTGGGGTCCCCGGGCCTCTCTGAGCCTGGTGGTTTCCCTGCAGACGTTTCATGGCCCAACTAGGGAACCTCATCAGTGGTGCCGGCGTTCCCTAGTTGGGTCACAAAAAGCTTGCGAGAAAACCGCCAACCTCGGAGAGCACCAAGGATCCTAACCCTGAGCTGCAAATATTCTCTTCTAAACCATGGTTAGTCAAACCATGGTTTAATGTCACCTGCAAAGCAGGCCAGAGAGTTAAGCAGTCCCTCCATTAAGAGGCTTTGATGGTTTGTAAGCACACATTGATGGCTTGCTCTTGAAACCTTGTGTGTTTTTTCCACCAGACCAGACCTGGTTAAGGTATCCTGGCTTAGCTGGGCTGTGTGATAGGATAGAGAGTTGGAAGGGACCTCGGAGGTCATCTAGTCCAACCTCCTGTTCGAGCAGGAGAATCCATTCCAAATATCAGCCACTCCCTAGGATCGAACTCACAGCCTCCTGATTGTGAGGCGAGAGCTCCCCCTCCAGGCCACTGGAGCTGAAAATGAGGCCCAGGGTGGGGCTGGCTCCCCATGAGAGGGCTGGAGGCAGAACAAGGACCCCCCCCTTTGTTCCGGCTGAGGTCACCCCCCCTCCCGCCTTAAAAGATCCCAGGCCTCCCGCTGGCCAGAAGCCAAGACCGACATCCTTCTGGGTCAGGGGTTCTCCGCACACGCACACACACACAAACGCACACGCAACCACACGCAACCTGAGAGGCCGAGGGGCACACCTGGGCGCTCTTCAGCTGGCTCCAGTCTGCAGAGAGGTAGAAGCGGATGCCCTCGATGGAGCCCTCCAGCGTGGCTCCCCGGATGACCAGCACCACGATGACCACGTAGGGGAAGGTGGCCGTGAAGTACACAACCTGCGCAGGGGGGACGGCCGGGCGGCTGAGAGGGAGAAGCACCCTGGACCCACCCAGGGCCCGACTGAGCCCGTCCCCGCCAGACCCAGGCCAGGGAGGGGCTCCCCACGCTGCCCCTCCCCCCCAGCTGGCTCACCTTGCCCGAGCTCCGGATGCCCTTCAGGGTGCAGAGGAAGATGACGGTCCAGGCCAGCAGCAGGCACAGCGCCAGGGGCTCCCTCACGGGGCCGGGGTCGCCCAGGCCGGAGCTGTGCACCACCCCCAGCACCCGCTGGCTGGAAGCAGAAGAGGGGAGGGGAAGGCGGCTGACGGCCAGGAAGGAGCCCTGCCTCTCCAGGACCCTTCCCCGCCCATCAGAGGGTCCTCCACTTACCACGGTTCATTTAGTGACCAAAGTTACAGAGCAGCAATGGGGTCTTAGCTGTTCCGGTTTGGGGATCACACGTGTGGCCCTTATGCATGCGCACCTTATGCACACGGCAGCCCTCCCCACACCGGCGGAGAAAGGAGAGAGCAGCGCAGAGGGCCGGTGGGAGGGAGGGAGGGAGGGCCAGTCCTGCGCTTTTCCCTTCTCTCTCCTCTCAGCTGAGCCCCCCCAGGCTGTTCTGACTACCAGTTCGGTTGAACCGGTCCAAACCGGCCGGATCCCACCACTGTCACGGAGGCAGTGAAAACTTACAACTGTTTGTAAGAGCAGCCACACAGTTTGTGCGTGTGTGTGTGTCCCGTTCCAAGATCTCCAGCCAAAGAGGCTGAGCTGAGGCCAGGGCTGTGCCCCCACTCCCACCCTCCCTTCCCTGCTTCCCCGGGCTGACCCCCCCCCGCCCCCCCAAGAGAGGGAGCCCACTTCCCTCCCAATGAAGGAGACTCACTTCCAGAAGACCTCGCTGGCACTGGCCGGGCGGCTCCTCACCAAAGTCCCGTTCTGAAAGGCAGGAAGAGACCCTCGTGGGGGCAGCAGGGGTGGGATTCCATTTTTTTTTACTACCGGTTCTGTGGGCGTGGCTTGGTGGGCGTGGCAGGGGAAGAATATACTGCAAAAAACCCCTTCCCTCCCCACCCCACTGACCTGCTTTCCAGCTCCGTTCTCCTGGGCAGGGCAACCCAAGGAGACTCAGCTGGGACTCGATGGGAGGCAGAGAAGAGATGGGGCCAAATCCTCCCTCTGGCGCAGGGCCTCCCTGGATGCTCCAAGGCCAGCCGGCTACTCGGCTCTCCTCAGCCAGGGAGGAGGTGCCTGAACCCCGAGGAGTGCCGGCCTCCCCTCCTGCTCCCCTCCCCCCGGGGCCCAGCCCGTACCTGCGCCTGGCAGAGGGGCCGGTTGGGTGGGGCGTCGCAGGACCAGGGCAGGGGGCTCTGGAAGGACTTGCTCAGGTAGTAGAAGGTCCAGGCGATGATGACGTTGTAGTAGAGAGAGACCAGGGAGGAGACCGCCAGCATCCCGACTCCGATCCCTGCAGAGGGAGCGCAGGAGGGGGAGCAGCTCGGTTCCACGGCTCTCCTTCCCCAGTTGGGGGTGGGGGGGGCTTCCCCATGAGTCCCAGCAGAAGGGCCCAGGGCCCCGGTGGGCAGGGCCCCAACCGCAGCCCCCCCCGAAGAAGCCCAGGGGCCCCTGAGCCCCACCCCAAGCGGGGAAGAGAAGCTGAGTCGGGGTCTCCTGCTCACAAGGCCCAGCGCTCCTCCCCAGCCTCCCCCTGGCCCCCCACGGGCGGAGGGGCTCCCCACTGGAGCCGGGTGGACTCCTGGCCCCCCGCCCCCCGAGGGGCTTACCTTTCAAGAGCGGGCAGCACTTCCAGATGCTGACGGGCCCCGTGGCCCCGTATTGGCCCAGGCTGAGCTCCATCAGGAAGAGGGGCAGGCCCGTGAAGACCAGCATGAGCGTGTAGGGGATCAGGAAGACCCCTGAGGAGAGAAGGCAGCGCAGGGGGGGGCCCTCAAGAGACCACACCGGCAATCCCCCTCCTCCCACCCCCTTCTAGCACTGAGGGTGTTACCAGGCTGGGTCATGAAAGGTCTGCAACCCTCGAGCCCAGAGAGCGCCAAGGAACCAACAGACCCCGCCCCCTCCTCCTCTTCCTCCCCCTCCTCTCAAAGTCCACAAGGCTTCCAAGTTGCCAGCTCTGCCGGTCTCTGGTCTGGAAGGCCTTTGGGTGCCCCCTGGATCTTCTCCTCCTTCCCCCCCAGTGGGTTTTGCTCTTGGGCCATTGCTCGGTGCTACAGCGCCCCCTATTGGGACGCAGGGGGAAATGACCCGCTTCTCTCCAGCCTTGGCCCCTTTAAGCCCGGAGCAAAGCTGGCTGGGGAATTCTGGGAGTTGAAGTCCTCCAGGTTGAAAGGGGCCAAGGTTGGAGAGAACGGGGGTTGCCTTCAAAACATTTAGCCGCCGGTTCTCTCTACCCAGTTGCTGGGTGGGCGTGGCCACGGTGGGTGTGGCCTAGTCAGCCTCCTGCACCATGGCGGCGGGGGGGGCATTTTCACCCTCCCCGGGCTCCGGAGGCTCTCTGGGCGCTGGACGTGAGCCTGTTCCTGGCCTTCTGGAGCCTCCCCGCGGGCCCTGCACTTACCTGGGATCCAAAATGGGCCACGTGGGGACTCCGGGGAGGGGAAGGGAGGGGAGGGGAAGGCCAGCAGTCATTGCAACCACCAGTTTGGCTAACCAGATGCAAAATGAACACCCGGTTCACTCGAACCGGCCCAGTTGGAGACCCCCCTGATCTAAAGATGAGGGTCTCTTGAGGCAGGGAAGGATGGGTGCAGAGAAAGGGGAGCTGCCACAGAACGGGGAGGTTGCTGCACTGTTGCACTAATTGCTCTGGCCGGTTCCCCTCAAGGGAACAAGGGGGTCCCTTCACAGGGAGGGAGGGAGGGAGGAGTCAAGGGAGGGGCAGGAGGAAGGGGGGGTGAGTGCCAGGTGGCTCAAGGGGGCAGGGAGGGGGTGCCAGGAGCAGCTTTACTCCAGCTTTACAATGCCAGCCAGGCTTGGACTGGGTGGCTCTTGCCCCCGTGTGGAATCCCCCCAGGGCTCCAACCATCCAACCTTCTGCGGATTAAGCGGCTTCTCTGAATGGGGGATCCTTGGGGCTCCCTGAGCTGGGTGACCTCGACAGCACCAGTCATAGAACTGAGGACGTTCCCCAGTTGGGTCATGAAATGTCTGCAAGAAACAGCCCCCCCCCCCAGCTCAGAGAGCATCCGGGACCCCTCATTTCACCCCCAGCTGCAAATATTCTCCTTTATTCGCGTCTCTTAAGAACAGAGGTTGGAGAGACGCCGGTGTTGGTGTTGGAAGAGACACAGGGAGGGAGGTTGGGGGCAGCTACCCCGGCTCAGGGCTCCCAGGGGGGATCAGAAAGGCAGGAGCAGAGCCACAACCGCCCCGATCAACGTCCAAGGCAAACTACTATTAACCTGAGATGAAATTATGCCTCTCTTGAGCGGGAAGGAAGAGAGGCTTTAAGCGCCGCAGGAGAACAGAAAGGAAATGGAATAATTCACATTAATATTCAGCAAGAGGAAAAAGTGAGCGTCAACATGCCTGCTCGGCAGATTCAGAGCAGGTGGCAAAGAAATTAAAGTCTTGGATAATTTCCCCAGAGGTGCTTCTTCCAGGAGGCAACTGGACTTTCGGGTTTTTCTTTGAAGGCGTTTTGCTTCTCACCCCAGAAGCTTCTCCAGCTCAGAAGAACCAGAAAGTCCAGTTGCCTCTTGAAAAAAGCATCTTGGGGACAAGCACGATGTGGACGAGGGAGAATCTCCACATACTGAGAAGGAGGAGGAGGAGGAGGAGGAGGAGGAGGAGGAGGAGGAAGGAAGGAAGGAAGGAAGGAAGGAAGGAAGGAAGGAAGGAAGGAAGAAGAAGAAGAAGAAGAAGAAGAAGAAAAGGAAGAGGAAGAAGATGAAAAAGGAAAAGGAGAAGAAGAAATTGAGACAGGAGGAAGAAGGAAAGGAAGAAGAAGGAAAGTTAGGACAGGAGGAGAGGAGGAGGAGGAGAAGAAGAAGAAAAAGAGGAGGAGGAGGAAGAGGAAGAAGAAGAAGAAGAAGAAGAAGAAGAAGAAGAAGGGTGGCCACTGGGGCCCCTGCTAAGAGGAGGAGGAGGGGGAGGAGGAGGGAAGCCGACGGGGGGGGGGGGGGTGTCGTCCACTCACCGCCTCCGTTGCGGTAGCAGAGGTACGGGAAGCGCCAGACGTTGCCCAGCCCCACGCAGTATCCCAGGCAGGAGAGCAGGAACTCGTACTTCCCGCCCCACGTCTCCCGCGGCTGGCTGGGCTCCGGGGCCGGGGGCTGCGCCTGGGGCAGGGTGGGGGCCGGCAGGCGGAGCCCCTCCAGGCCGGCCCCATTCAGCTGGGCGACTCTGCCCTGCGGCCCAAGGAGAGAGAGGGGGGAGTCAGGAGCCCAGCGGTAAAATCCACCCCCGTTCGGTCAAGTTGGGGAAGGGGACAAACGGCGGTTGGTGGGGTGGGGGAGTTAGTGCCGAGCCCTGGAAGTGGAGCAATTCTCTTGGGGTGCTCGCCTCGGGAGGGGCTCAGCCTTGCCCCCTTGTCTGGGCGGAGAGGGAGCGACTGGCCCCAGGCCACCCAGCTGGCTTGGGGTCCAGGGAGCAGCGGGTACGACCAGCCTCCTCGAAACCAGGAGGAGAAGTTGGCGCATAAGGGCGCCATCCTGCCCCCCCCCCGTCCCTGTCCTATCGTCCCCATGGATCCGCGCCTATTCCCTGTACTCTCGCTCGTGATTATTCTTATATAAATCACATAAAAAATAAAAAGAAGGAAGGAAGGAAGGAAGGAAGGAAGGAAGGAAGGAAGGAAGGAAGGAAGGCAAAGAATGGAGGGAGGAGAGAAAAGAAGGGAAGGAGGGACTGGAAGGAAGGAAAGAAGGAAAGAAAGAGGAAAGAAGGGAGGAAGGGAGGGAGGAAGGAAAGAGAAAAGGGAGTGGGAGGGAGGGAGGAAGGAGAGAAAAGAAGGGAAGGAGAGACTGGGAGGAAGGAAGGAAGGAAAGAAGGAAGGAAAGAAGGAAAGAAAGAGAAAAGAAGGAAGGAAGGGAGGAAGGAAGGGAGGGAGGAAGGAAGGAAAGGAAAGGAGAGAATTCCCATTCCTAAGAGGTCTGTCAGGGGGGTGCATAAGGGCGCCATCCTGCCCCCCCCGTCCCTGTCCTATTGTCCCCATTGATCCGCCCCTATTCCCTGTATTCCTACTCACATGTTTATTCTTATACCTGTCATCTTGTAAGTGATGGACAAATCGGATAAATAAAAACCAATCAATGAAGTCCTGGTGCCTCCACCACTGCGCCAGCCTGGCTGAGGGTTTGGGGTCTCCAAGGCCCGGAGGAGCCGGGACGGGCGTTTCCAAGGCCAGCAGCCCCCCCAAACCTCTGGGGGACCCAAGGAAGGTCTTCCCTGGAGCCTCCTTGCCTTGCCCAGGTTGGCCGGCCGGGCCTCCTCCCTGCCGGACCTGCTGGGCCTGCCTGACCAGCCCGAGAGAGAGAAATGCCCCCAGGGAGCTCCCCTGCCTCCTGGCCCCTCCCCCTGCCCAGCTGGTCCTCGAATTAGGACCGCCACGGAGCCCAGCAGTCCTGTTGCTGGCGTTTTGAGGAAGCCAGACAGCTGTTAAGTGGGTTCTGTCCCATTTTACGACTTTTTTTGCCACCGTTGTTAAGTGAATCACTGCGGTTGTTAAACTGGTCATACGGTCGTTAAGGGAATCCGGCTTCCTCCGTTGACTCTGCCTGTCAGAAGGTCACCAAAGGGACGCTGCCACCATCGTAAGTATGAGTCAGTGGCCAAGCGTCCCAATTTTGATCCCATGACCAGGGGATGCTGCTGCGATGGCCGTAAGGGTAAAAAACAGTTGTAAGTCCACTTTTTTCAGTGCTTTGAATAGTCACTAAATGAATGGTTGTAAGTCGAGGACTACCTGCAACTGTGTGAACTGGGAGCCCCCCAGGAAAAGAAGGTCTCCAACAGGCCCTCCGCACACCCACTGAATCCCAGGGCTGCAAAGGACCCTGGAGGTCCTCTAGTCCAGCCCCCTGCCCAAGGCAGGAGTCCTCAGGCCAGCCAGGCTGTCTAGGGGACCTCAAGTGATGGGGCGATACCCCCTGGCCAGCTGGTCACGGGCAGCGGCTGCCAAAGGACGCAGAACAAGGCGTAAACCCTGGCAGTCCTCCACTTACGCCCGCAGTTGGGACAGAGTTTCCATTGCTAAGTGAGGCCATGGTTAAGGGAGCCGTGTCTTATTTTATGACCCTTTTTAACACGGTTGTTAAGCGAATCACGCAGTCTTGAGGCGGATCCGGTTCCCGCCCTTGGCTTAGCTCCTTGGGAAGGTTGTAAGTGGGGGTCACGCGAGCCAGCGGGGCTGCAGCCATCCTCAATCCATGCCCGTTGCCAAGCGCCCAGATTTGGATGGCCTGACCATGGAGATGCTGCGACGGTCGTAAGGGTGAGGACCAGCTGCAAGCCACTCTTCCCGGTGCCTTGGTAGCTTTGAATGGCCGCTAAACAGACGTCATAAGTCTAGGACTACCTGTCAGGAGAACTCCAAAACCTCCGACCCCTTTTGCCCCAAAGCCCGGCCTGGCTCTCTTTTCTGCAGCCCTGACCCAAAACCAGGGGGCTCCCCTCCCTACGCCGGGCTCAGCCCCAGAGGATGACAGCCCCCCCCCCCCGGCCGCCCCCCCCAAAGGGAGGACCCCCCCCCCAATATATGGGGATGGAGCCTGTTTGGCAAGGGACTGCGGTGTCCCGGGGTCACTTGATCCCCTTTTGCGACCTTCCAACGAGCCAAGTCGGTGGGGAAGCCGGATTCACTTAATGACCGCGGAGGTTCAAGGAAGGGCAACAACGCTCACTTAACAACTGTCTTGTTTAGCAGCAGAAGCGTTGGGCTCGCGTGTGGTCGTAAGTCTTGAGTGCAGCTCTTTCAACTCCAACTGAGGCCTCATCCGGGACTTGCCCCCCGCCCCCCACCCTGCTCTAGGGGAACCCAGAGGCCCAAACTGCCCCCCCCCACCCCCAGTGACCCCCTTCCTCGGCTGTGGGCCCCGGTTTTTGCTTTGAGGCAGAAGGAAACAGCCGCTTTCTCTGGCGAAGAGCTTGGAACATCCATTTTCTTCACAGAAAAGAAGCAAAGGCCCAAATTAACAGGTAAAATGTCCTGTGAGACAGGTGTCCAACCTGTGGGCTCCCCCAGGCTGCCTCGAGTGGGGAGGGGGATGGTCTTGGGCCACACATGTAAACTGTACAACATAGTAAATCTGTATAAATCACACAATCATAAGGTTCAAACGTTTGCCATCTTGTGAGGCCGCATTACTAGCTGTCCAGGGCTGCATGGGTGGGACACACCTGCCTGATGACCTCCGGAAGGTCATTGACCCTCTCCTGGCCACCTCAAGGGAAAATAGCCCTTCCTGCTCTTTCGGAAAAGCTCCGAATTACAGAAGAAGAGTCAGAAGGGACCGTGGAGATCATCTAGTCCAACCCCCCTGCTTAAGAAAGGAGCGGATTTGGCTGGCTCTTTCTGTCCAGACAGCGACTCCTGTAGTCGGACACCCCAGTTCGAATTTGGGGGCCAATCCAGATCGGGGAGAGGGAGGGGATCTCTCCTTTCCCCCCCTTTTCGCAGCTCAGCCGCGGTTGCATTCACACAACCCCCGCGTGTCTCCGTGGAGCTGCTCGGGGGCTCCAGCTGCCCACCGGCTCTTCCTGCCTGCCCCATCTTCGGGGGGGCTGCGCCGCCTCACCTTGGCTGGGCAAAGGGGGCCGATTCCCGGGGCGGGGGGGGATCCGGGCTTCCCGGGAACCAAACCTGCAGGCGGAAGGGCTCCCCTAACACCCCCCCCCCGGGGGGGGACTCACCGGGCTGGCAGCGGCAGGAGCAGCAGCGGGAGGTTCCATCAGGCACCGCCGACCCGCTCCAGTTCCGGCCCTTCAGCCAGGCGGGCGAGGCGGGGCCAGGTAGGCCGGCCGGCAAAGCACCTGGCCGCGCCCGACGCTCACCTGGCCCGCCCCGCCCGCCCGCCGCGAGGGCCAGCCGGGTCGCTTTCTTGCTTTTTTCCCCTTTTTGGTCCCGCTTTGGATTTGATACGACCGACCGCCGTCGGCTCTAAGGCGCAGCTCAGGGCGAGAGCGGCGCTTCTGGGGCGCGCAGGGGGTCCCAGCGCCGCCTGGTCCGCCGGGGACCGTGGCTGGCCTGAAAGGGGCTTTTGCAGGCCCCGAACCCGCGGAGAGGAGCGGAGCGGAGGGCCCGGCAGAGGCTGCGAGGGAGGCGCAAGGTCCGCGCGGGGAATGGGGGGAGGGGGCGGGGGGCGCGCAGGAGGCGCTGCTTCTCTTGCCCAGGATCGCAAAGGGGCTTCAGACAGGAATCACTTCCCTCCAACGCTCCCCCACCGGCTCATCCAGGAGCCCCCCCGGGAGAAAACAACACCGGCTGCCTGGGCAAGGCACTTGTACAAGAACAGAGGGCAACCCCCCCCCTCCCCAGCCCTGATGGTGTTCCCTAGTTGGGTCATGAAACGTCTGCAAGAAAACAACCCAGTTCACAGAGCACCAAGGACCCCACAGTCCTCCTCCTCCTCCTCCCTGTAAACCCCACTGCCTTCTGACACCGATAATACAGGGGAAGAGCCAAGTCAGGGAGCCCCAGGGACCGACATGTCAGTTTCTGGTCTGATGGGACTCTGCTCGTGGGGGCTCATGCCTGCCTTTCGAGGGGTCCCTGTGGGGCTGCCCCCAAAAACCTCCCAGAATGCAGCCAGCAGGGCAAGGGATGGGATCGTGGCTCATGGTGCCACCAGCTGCCCTGCCTCCCGAGAGGCCTCCAGGCCGGACGGAGGATGCTGGTTACTCCTATCAAGCCCCGGATGGCCCAGGATGGGGGTCCTGGACCCACAAGCTCCCCCCAGGAGGGTCTTTCCAGACTCCTTCCGTCCCCTGGGGGGACTTGGGACCGGCCTCTCCTGTGGGGACTCCTGCTTGAGCAGGGGGTCGGACTAGAAGACCTCCAAGATCCCTTCCCGCTCTATTCGGATTGATACTCAACTCCTTTCTGTGGAGGGATTCTCCCTCTCCCCCTCTGCTCTCTGCCGGCGGCCCTGACGGAGATGCCTTGTTCTCGGGCGGGTCTTTTCGGTGGCTGCACGGCTGGGTGTTACGCCAGACGGTCTGCCTGAGCGGGTCTGGAGACGCTGCCACGGAACAAGAGGGAGTGAATGAAGAGAATTCTTTTATTGGGCAAGGGTGGTTGGACAAACAAGGAATTTGTCTGGGTGCAAATGCTCTCAGTGCACATAAAAGGAAAGATACATCCGTCCAGAGTCCAGAATCATCAGGTGCAACACTTAATGATGGTCAGAGGGTACAATAAGCCATCCAATCATACGAGGAAACAGTCCATAGAGACCGTAAGGATACAAGCGACAGTTAGTTGAACATAACAGAAAGTTAGTGGAGGGGTGAGGATGGCGGTTGTGGGAAGGGGCTCTGCCAGCAGCCCGTCGCCTCCTGAAGGTGGGGAGCCGCTTTCAGGGCTGCTCAAACGCAACTGGGGTGCAGCCCCCCTCGCGGGGTCCTGCCTGGGTTTGGGGGGTCGCCCCGGGAAGCGGCGGGAGAAAGCGCCCCAAAGAAACCGTCGGGGCGCTGCCGGAGGGGACCTGCAGGTGGCGCTGTCGCGCCCTGACTGCGCCGCGCTCTAGGAGAAACGGCAGGGCGGGCACCTCTTTCCCGCCTTCCCCGCCGGGCTGGAAGCGGCTTCCAGGTCGGTCCTGCGCACGCGCGAGCCCGGAGGGCGGTCCCCGTCAGCCGCCATGTTTATTCGGGGCAAGCGCGGCTGTTTGGGTGGTTGGGAAGCGGCCGGGCCCTCGTCCAAAAGGGCGGCGACGGCGTCACGCGGGGCGGGGCCACGGCGCTGGCGGGAAAGCGGCTGGCGGGCGATCGGCGGCGGCTGAGGCGGCGGAGCTTCTCGTCCGGACCGGCACCATGCACGTCGTCAAGCGAGGTGGGAGGCAGCCCCGGTCCCCCCTCGCGGACGCTGCCCCCACTTCACCCGGCGGTCCCGGGCATGCGGGGGGGGGCGGCTGCCTCCCACCCTCGCTGGTTGCAGGGCGGTGGGCCTTGTAGTCCCCGAGCGGGACCCTGGGGTGGGGGGTCCCGTCCTCCCCACCCCAGACTTCCCCACCTGAGCGCCCCCATTGGTTCTGTTAAGGCGGGGGGTCCTGCGAGGTGGGGTGGGGGGGTCTTAAAACGGGCTTTGTGGAGGAGCCCCCCCCCGCGCCTGGCAAGATCTGGGGGGGTCTTTCTTTCTCCCCCCCCCGCTTCCCTCCCCAAAGTCAGGCCTGCACCCCGCACTCCCCCCGCACAGTCCCACTGCCGCCGCCACCCCCGGCCTTAAACCCCCCCCCCGAATCGTGCAGACCCCCCCCCCCC